GGGGTCCCTCTCCCTGCCTGTCTCTCCCAGGGGAAGGGTCCCAGTTTGAGCCCAGCCTTTCCCAGCTGGGTGCTGTGGTGCTGCCCCATCCACTGTGTTACAGACTCGGCTTCTCCCACAGGTGCAGCAGCGACGGCAGGAACTGGAGCAGGCCTTGGGCATCAGGAACACATAAAACTGCCCTGCTCCTGCCCAGCCCCACGGCTGTTTGTGGAGACAGAGCTGCAGAGCTCGCTGCTCCAGCTCCCAGGATCCCCCTCCAGCAGCAACTCCTCCTGGCGTTGTCCCTGCTGTGCTGGGGGCAAGTCCAGGACAGCGGGGCTCTCGTGGGGTGTGACGAGCAGACAGGCTGCACCCAGCACACATTTCTACCTGGTTCTCCTCCTGGCTGTTGCCTCGGCAGCCCCAAGGCTCCCACGAGCCTCCCCGTGACTCCGTAGTGTCCCCGGTAGCCAGAGTTGACTGGGAGCCTCCTCCCAGCCCGTCCCTGCCCGGCCAGCAGCGGGGCTGTGGCACTCTGGAAGCCTGGCTCTGCTCTAAGGTGTGGCTGGGCTCTTCCCCCTGCCACGTTTTACAGCCCGTGCCAGGCGCTGGCGTGGGCAGGATGCCGTGAGCTGACATACCTCCCTGCCCTCACCCCCCTCCTCGGAGGGTGCTGCTGCACTGGGGCTGCCCCACGGGTCCCTCCCCTCCTCGAGGAAGTTACTGGACTGTGTAGAGAATTGCTTCTTCCCTTCTCCCTTTTTTCCCTGTCCGTTCCCTTGGCGTTCTGTGACGGACTGTCCTGGTTTGGGATCACAGGGAGACGAAGCTTTGGCTTCCTGCAGGGCTTTGGAAGCTCGGAGTGATGCGACTCTCTGCCCTTCAGACACCTACACGTGGGTTCCCAGCAAACCACGGGGCTGCTTGTTTTCCCTGGAGCAGGGAGAGGGGATGCAGCAGCTGCCTGGAGCTGTGCATGGACACAGCGTTGTGGGGCAGTTGTCCTGTGTCACTTGGTGTGGGGACCAGAGGCTCCGAGGGTGGAACAGGACAGTCCTTGGGAATGGACGTTTTTCCAAGCATATGTGAGTTTAGCAGGTGTTTCCGTGCCGAAGCTCCTGTGGTTTTTAGTCAAGTTTTAGGTCATGGGGCTGCCATAGGGCCCAGCATGGTTCAGGAATGTACAAATAGATTTACTGTGGGGAGTAGCAGCCCCGATGCCTCTTCATGGAATGAATTACAGGTGGTCAGGCTTTAGGAGCACGAAACAGCTCCTCTTCACCCCCAATCCCGGTGTTTCTGCTCGGGACCACAATGCAAATGGACTTGGAAGTTGGTCTGACTCTTTGGGATCGCTGCAGGATCCCGTTCCTGCCCAGCCCTCCCACCCCAGGCCCACGGTGTGAGCTGTGAGCGCCTGGGTGGCCCTGCTGCTCCTCGTGTCTGTGTAACTACGTGTCTGTGAGTGATAGACTCTCGACCTCCCCTCTTCCTTTGCCCTCCTGAAAACGCTCCTCTGTGGTACTGGGGTGAAGGTCTTGGTGCTGGAGGAGCAGCCCCTGCCTCCTCAGGGTACTCCCACGGGAGGGAGGCCGAGTCCTGCGTAGGCGAACGTAGCTGTTTGCAGAGTAACTGCTTTTCTTAACTGAATATTTACGGTTTTTTTCCATGGACCAAATCTTTTTTTTTGTTTTTTTTTTTGTTTTTTTTTTGTACTGTACCCTTGTAGACGTCACCCAGTTTTAATAAAAGACTCCTGTGAAGGAAGCTGTCCTCCTCCTTCATGCTCCCTCCCCGTGGGGGATGACACTCCAGTGACTCGCCAGGGAAGGGACAGGATTATCTCCACTTTCTTCCTTTTTTTTCTCTCCTCAAAGCCAGCTGGAGAGAAAGTGTTCTTCATATTTTGGCCTTTTATAGCGAGCCCTCCATAGAGGGAATCTCCCTCCTTGCACACTCTGTTAAAGCCTTTGCAAAAGTGCTTTTGTGCTGAACAAAGTAACTTGAGCAGAAGTGGAAATCCAGTGGCCAGGGCTGATAAATCCTCAGCTGCCCAGTGGCCACTCTGCTGGGCTGTGAGAGCCTCTTACAGGCCCCAGGGGAGTCGGGCAGAATTTGGAGGAAACTGTATTAAAGTTTTCGTGCAAGGGTTTAAAATGATGCAAAAGGGGAATTGTTCTCTTCGCCCTGGTGGTTTATAGAACTGAAAATGCCTCGCAGCAAACCTGGGAGCCCCTTGGGCAAGAAAAGGATCCTCTGTGAGGAGGAAAACGCTGCTGCCTCAGGCAGCAAGTCCTGGGGCTGCACCAGGTGGTTCTTACTCCTTACCTGGGGGCAAAACGGCACTTTTAGGAACACAGAATGAAATGCTTTTGTGCAGAAAAAGAGGGAGAGGCTCGGCAGGCACAACTCAAAGATCTCCTCGGGGGCTGCAGCTCCTCCCGAGGGGCAGCTCTGTGAGCAGGGACAGGACCCAGGGAACGGCTAGAGCTGTGTCATGGAGGGTTAGGGGGGATCTCAGGAAAAGGTTCTTCCCCAGAGGGTGGTTGGCACTGCCCAGGCTCCCCAGGGCAGTGGGCACAGCCCCAAGGCTGCCAGAGCTCCAGGAGCGTTCGGACAACGCTCCCAGGCACAGGGTGGGATTGTCGGGGTGTCCGTGCCGGGCCGGGAGCTGAAGATTCTGATCCTCGCGGGTCCCTTCCAACTCGGGATATCCCACGATCCTGCGATTCAGCGAGTGACTCCTGGTTCCGCAGGGGATCCGAACCGCTCCAGGTCTCTGCACTTTGCCCCCGAGCGAGGAGCCCGCGGCGGGTGCCCGGTGCCCGCAGCGGTGCCCGCGGTGCCCCCGGGGGCGAGGCGGAGCCGGGGGCGGACCGGGGGCCGCCCCTGCTCCGGGGCGCCCTTGAAATAAGCGGCGGCGGCGGGTCCGGCTCCCGCAGCGCCCCGGTCCCGGCACCACCATGGGTGGCAAGAAGGTTTGCGTCGTGGGCTCCGGCAACTGGTGAGCGCCGGGATCGCCCGGCTGGGTCCCCCCCGGGGCCAGCGCAGCGCGGTCCCTTGTCCTCCCCATGGCACCAGGGTGAGCCCCGGTGCCCACGGACCCCGCTGTGCCCCTCGCAGGGGTTCTGCCATCGCCAAGATCGTCGGAGCCAACGCGGCTCGGCTGAGCGGCTTCGAGAGCCAGGTGAACATGTGGGTGCTGCAGGAGGAGGTGGGCGGCCGGCGCCTCACCGACATCATCAACGCCGAGCACGAGAACGTCAAGTACCTGCCCGGGCACAAACTGCCCCCCAATGTGGTGAGAGTGGGGGCTGCCAGCTCCGAGGGGCTCTGGGAGGGCTGTTGGGGGGTGAGGGAGGGGATGTGTGGGGCTCGCTGACACCCTCCTGCTGACCTTGGTCCTGCTGCTGTCGCTGCCCACCTTTGTGTCCCCCCCTCTCTGGCGTCCCGCGGGCTGGGCTGGAGGCCATGTGGCTGCCTCTGAGCTGGCAGCTCTGCTCCAGCCCTTCTCCAGCCCTTCTCCAGCCCCTGCCAGCCCTGGCAGGGACCTCGGCGCGGTGGCTTCGGGCCCTTCCTCACCTTCCCGGGTCCCCCGTGCAGGTGGCAGAGCCGGACCTGCTCAAAGCCTGCGCCGGGGCCGACGTGCTCCTGTTCGTGGTGCCCCACCAGTTCATCGGCGGCGTCTGCGACCAGCTCAAGGGCCACGTGAAGAAAGAGGCCGTGGGGATGTCGCTCATCAAGGTGGGAGCGGGAGCAGCGCTCTGGAAGCGGCCCAGCTTGGAGGGGCTGCAAAGGGAATCCTGGGATTTCGGGGGAGAAACGGGCTCTGGGGTGATGGGGGGATGTGAGGAGGGTGGGGGCAGAGTCTTTGTGGGGATTTGGAGGTGAGAGCACGTGGGGGATCTGTGAGGAGCAGGGCACAGCTCAGCGTGTCGGGATCACATTGCAGCACAGGGAACAGCGGGATTGGGGTGGGGGGCAGGTGTCCAGGGGGGGCTCATGTCTCGTTGAGAAGGTGGTGATCACTCAAAGGTTGGACTCGGTGATCTCAGAGGTCTTTTCCAACCTAATTGACTCGGTGGTTCTGTGACCTCTGCCCTTGGTCGTCCCCCAGGGCGTGGACGAAGGACCAGACGGGCTGAGGCTGATCTCGGACATCATCCATGAGAAACTGGGGATAGAGATGACCGTGCTCATGGGGGCCAACATTGCCAACGAGGTGGCAGATGAGAAGTTCTGTGAGACCACCATCGGTAAGGAGCCGTTGTCCCTCCTCGTTGGCAGCCTTGGTTTGTGATGAGGGGCAAAGTGGGGGGCACAGTGCAGCTCAAACCGCTGGGTGAGCTGGCCCTTTTCCCTGGGAAGGCAGGAGACTCCCTGGGAGCTGGCTGAGCTCATTCCCAGGGTTTATGATGGCTAAAACATTCCTGCCAGCACCGTGCCTGGCACGAGTTAAAGGGGTGGACACCATGAGGCACTTGAGGAATAAGTTCCACCCTTCATTTCCTTGGGTTTCACGGGCTGCTCACCTGGATCTCACATTATTGCCCAGCCAGGGCTGCTTGGAAGTTGATCTGGTGGCTGTTCCAACACCCTCCACGCTGTTGGGAACCGTGCACGGAGCCAAAACCAACACAACAGTTTTGCTGGGTTAGAGGCTGGTGGGATTCAAAGTGTCTGTGTTTTGTGAAACAACAGCCAGCATGCTGGGCAGGAGGCTGGGGAGCTGGAACAGAGCCCACAGCCCCTGTGAACACACAGGACCCCCACAGCAACAGGGAGGACACCGGGCTCCAACCCCAAATTTGCAGCCTTTGAAGATGCCTTTAACCTCCTGGGCAGGTCATTTGTGTCTTGGTTGAGGAAGCAGCAGGGATTGTCCCTGTCCCCCGGGAGTGCCAAGGCTGAACGTTGCTTATCTGTCAGGCCGTGTGTGCCTGGCTCTTGGGGGACCTGCAAATGTTTGGCCACGTCCATCGGTTGGGCAACAGGTTCCTGTCCCTGGATGAGCTGCAGGGGAGAGCACGGTCCTGCCTCGGGGTTTTTCCCCATCATCTTCCTCCTCCTCCTCCTCCTTCCCTTTGTCTCCTCAGGCTGCAAGAACGTGAAGCACGGGCAGATGCTGAAGGAGCTGATGCAGACCCCCAACTTCCGAGTGTCGGTGGTGCAGGAAGCCGACACCGTGGAGATCTGTGGGGCTCTCAAGGTGGGTGTCAGCAGAGCCTGGGGGGGCCTGCAGGGCTCTGCAGGGAGCTCTGGGGAGGAGGCTGTTGGGTGAACGGACCCCACTGTGGCTGCTGAGACCTTTGAGACAAAGGCTTTGGAGGGACCTGTCCCGTTCATCCACCTGGAGGGATGATGGGCACTGGCACAGGCAGGAGCTCTTGCTCAGGATCCCACACAAGACAAATCATGGGCACAGCAAAGCCCTGAGAACAGATCCCTCTGGATCTGGGATCTGGGAACAGATCCCTCCACGTTCCCATCGTTTCCCAGAACGTGGTGGCCGTGGGAGCCGGTTTCTGCGACGGGCTGGGCTACGGCGACAACACCAAGGCCGCCGTGATCCGCCTGGGGCTGATGGAGATGATTGGCTTCGCCAAACTCTTCTGCAAGGGCCCCGTCACCCCCTCCACCTTCCTGGAGAGCTGCGGGGTCGCCGACCTCATCACCACCTGCTACGGGGGCCGCAACCGCAAGGTCGCCGAGGCCTTCGCCAAGACGGGGAAGGTGAGCGGGGCTGGGAGTGGAGCTGTGCCAGGGCAGGGTCAGGCTGGATCTCAGGGAAAGGTTCTTCCCTCAGAGGGTGGTTGGGCACTGAACAGGCTCCCCAGGGCAGTGGGCACGACCCCAAGGCTGCCAGAGCTCCGGGAGCATTTGGAAAACGCCCTCAGGGACAGGGTGGGATTGTCGGGGGGTTGCAGGCCCAGCTCCTCACTGCTGGGTTGTTTCAGTCCATCGAGCAGCTGGAGAAGGAGATGCTGAACGGGCAGAAGCTGCAGGGCCCCCAGACGTCTGCTGAGCTGCATCGGATCCTCAAGAGCAAGAACGTGGTGGAGAAGTGAGTGCTGGAACCTGCCGTGGTGGGGCTGCGACCCTTTCCTGCAGCAGCAGCAGGGGAAACCCCCCCCTCGGTGTCTCAGCTGTTCAGGGCAATCCTGCACTGCCCAAATCATGCCAGCCGGGCAGGATTCCTGCTGGATGGGGCCCAGTGCCACTGTCCCACCTGCTCCTGCTCGTCAGGGCAGCAGTTGAGGTGCCCTGACCCTGCCAGCTGTGGTGTCTGTGTCCGTCTGCCCGCAGGTTCCCCCTCTTCACCGCCGTGTACCAGATCTGCTACGAGGGCAAACCTGTCGCTGACTTCATCAAGTGTCTCCAGAACCACCCTGAGCACATGTAGAGGGGCTCTGAGACACGCAGAGACTCCTGCCCACACCAGCCCGACCTGCTGCCACAGCTTTGTGCGGAGTCCGGGTCTCCTGGGAGCCTTGGCAGGGCGCTGGAAGGGCAGAGGGTCCCTTCCCCAGCCCTGGGCGCTGCCAGCCTGAGCCTGGCACAGAGGTACCTGCTGACCTCCCTCTCTCTGTGAAGGGCTCGTTTAGTTTCTGCTGCTCTCTAAGGTCTGCCCCGAGCGGGACTGAGCATCTTCCTCCTTCCACTTCCTCCTGCCGTGATGGATTCAGCTCTGGGAAGGACTCTGTCGTGGTTGATACGGGCTGGGAGGACAAACAGTGCCCCAAGTCCTCCTTCTTAGCCCCACGGGGCTGCTCTGGGTGACACCAGCCCTTCCCTGCCTGCTGCTGCTGCTGCTTTTGGCTTCCCTGCCTGGTGGAGAGGGCACAAAGCTCCTCAGGACTCCCAGAGGTGCTGAGAAAATCTTCTTTCTAAGCAGCACCAGTGCCAGACAATGGCATTCCTTTGCCACCCTGCCATGTGCTGCTTCCCGAGCCATCCCCAGCTGCTCCTGCTGACCCAGCGCTGCTCCAACAGCTCCAGAGGGACACTTTGGGGCTTGTTTGTTCAGAACTTTTGCAATCCCACCTGGCCCCTGCCCCGGGGAACTCCCCTGTTGTCACAGGTTTGCCTGTGAGAATTCCGTGCCCTCTGACTTCTCTCCCTGTCCCACTTTTTGTCCTCTGGGGCTTGGCACTGCAGGGACCAACTGCCCCCCAAGTCTCCGTGACCCCCCTGCCTTGTACCTGCAGAGCCAGGGGGTGGGTACAGGGCACCTGGGTCATGTTGCTGTTAAATAAACGACCCACAGCCACACACTTTGCCCCCTCTGACTCGCTTCAGCCCGTGCTTTAGCCTGCTCTGTGCTCCCATGTGTGACTGCCCAGGATCTGAGGAGCCTTCCCTGCCGTGGGGATGCTGCAAACTGCCCCCCTGGCACAGGGGCAGGAATGGGCACGTGATCCACGACAGGTACAGGACGGGACAGAGGTCTGGGGCCTCATGCTGGGCCCGTGAAACTTGCCCCTTGTCCAGGCAGGTGCCACGTGGTCCCTCTGCTCCTCCGTTTGCTCAAGGCCAGCGTGTCCAATGGTCACTGATCCTGCCCGGGCTGGAATTCTGGAATGCTGGAGTGCTGCAGGGCTCCCCGTGACCCCCCTATTCAGGTCTCTGACGGGCATTGTGCTTTTAAAATGCCAATAAACACGGAGAGGAGAGGGGAGATGCTCTCCCTGCTCCGCGGCTCCGGTGCGTCGCCGCCGTTGGGTCGGTGCCCGCTGGACTCGCCGAGCGCTCAGAACAGGGCACTGCCCGTTCCCTCCTCGCTCTGCACCCTCCCGTGCTGCCCCAGAAACGGCAAGAATGTCCCCGCAGGTCCCTGTTTATGTCACACAGTGTCCCACTTGCTTTGTCTCAGCGGTTGGTTCCAGGATTAAAGTTTGGCCGCGGGACCGTGGCGGGTCGGGGCTGAGTCCAGAGTCCTCACCTGGGGCCTGCGGGAGCCGGGCCAGGACCCCGCTGTGCCCCACACACCCCCAGGCCTCCCCTCCTCTGATGTCTCGGTGGGGTTTTATTCATCTCTTCCCAGCTGCTCTGCCCTGGGTGTCTCTGAAGGTGCCTCGTGCCGAGTGACCTTTGCAGGGCTCCGAGCCCCGCGCTCGGCGTCTTGCGAGGGGAATTTAATCTACTGGCGCTGCTCTTGTTTCTGTGCCTTTTATTAGCCACGTTTTCTCACCAGGCGCTCCGCGACCTTTACATTCGGACGGAGGGAGCCGGCCCGGCCTCCTCTGCCGAGGAGCTTAATTGAGCTTGGAGGGAGGATAAAGGAAGTCCAGCGTGTTCCTGCAGGGCTGGCACGACTCGTAGTTCCCTTTTTGTCTTCGAGCGCTTTCAGGAGTCCGAGTGTTTGGACATGAGGCTCGTGCAGCAAAGAGGATCCCCGAGCTCTACTCCCAAACCCCTGTCAGCACCTGCCTGGAGCTGCAGCAGGATCCAGCAGGGAGTTGTGTTTAGCTGGGAGCTCCTCAGAGATGGAAATGCTTTGTTCATCCCCCTCGTCCGGGTTTCTTTGACTCTGCCAGTGCCAGAGTCCCTGCAGAGCCTCGCTCCCGACTCTCACCTGGGGGGGACCAGCACACGGGTCTCTTGCTTTCAGCTCAGGGAGTTCCTGAGCTATAAAAAGTCTCTTCCCTTTGCCATTTGGAATTATGTTCCGCAGGCTCAGCACATCCCGGCGCCACAGCCCCGGGAGCTGCTGCCGGCGCGGGAAGGGCGAGGAGAGGGGGGGAAAGGGGGACTGTGGCAGCCTCGGAGCTCCGGGGAGCCCTGGATGGAGCAGGGCTGGGACAGCGGAGTGCAAACGCTGGGAAGGAGCTGCAGGAATGGAGCAGCTGCCAGAGGGTTTAGGGGAAGGAAGCTCTGGGGGCACACCAGAGACCCTGGGCAGGCACCGGGGTCCTTGGGAGAACACTGGGATCATTGGGATGGCACTGGGATCACTGGGATGGCACTGGACCCTTGTGAAGGCACTGGGA